CTTACACACTTGTGAAGGCCAAGAAGTGCCACAATCTGCCATCTACAGGCAGGAGAACCAGGAAAGCTAGTGATATGAATCAATGTGAGTCTGAATGCCTGAAATCCAGGAGCACCAACGTCCACGGGTGGGAGAAGGATGTCTCAGCTCAAGCAAAGAGCAAACTTGCCCTTCCTCTGCTTTTTTGTTCTAGTCAGTCCCTCAATGAATTGGACGATGCCTACCCACTTTTAAGAGGGTGATCTTCTTTATTCAGTGTATTGATTCAAATGCTGATTTTTCCAGAAACACTCTCACAGACACACGCAGAAATAATTTTTTTTACCAGCTATCTGGGTATCCTTCAGCCCAGTCAAGTTGACACATAAAATTAGCCCTCACAAGCAGTATAAAGCATAGAATCAGTGTAATTGCCCAGACAATTTAAATTTGAAGCAGAAACATACACATATTTTAGCATAAAATAATCAGAGGTCCAGTGTCTAAATATTCTGGATAAATAAAACTAATTCTCTCATGGGCAATCAGATTAGAGCTTTTGTAATTACTCTGGTACAGTGACCCATGTAGACATTCAAACGGCCATGTCTCCATTCACATGTAGAAAGAGTTCCTTAATTCTATTATGTTTCAGATCTGGAACAATTGCTTTCAATCTTAAAAATTCCATTTGGGTTGTTTCAGGATTTAAGACTTTCCCCTCTGTCCATGTTAACTTTACTTCTAAATAAATTAAATCTCATGATTAAAGGTGAGCAATGAGGAGAATTTACTGGACCTTTCTGTTATGTTCATTTGGGTTGTAGTTAATGTTGTGTACAGGAATAGGGTCATATTGGAAGTAGATTTCGTGTTTTATGCTGGCTTTCAAATGGATACTGATAAATAACAATGTAGCAAATATCAAGTGTCTTAACTGCACAGCATCTCTCAATCCATTCCACTCATTTCAGGTAAAAGCAATCCCTTGTTCTTTGAGCTGTACCAGCAGACCTACCATGCTTCTGCATTGCTTGACTTCTGATCCAGCTTCTTGTTCCAAGGGAAATACTGGGACATACGCTGATCCAATCAGAGCCCATACTTGGGATTTCTGGGATTCAGAGATAGTGGTAACTGCTGGTGGCAGAGCTTAAAAACATGAAACTCAGAAGCTGTTAGTGGCCATGTCATTTGCTGTTTAGGAAAGATCCATTGACAGTAGAGAAAGTGGAGTTAACCCAATGGCAGGAGGAAAAGGAGAGAGAATCCTGCTAGTAACTGAGAGTTCTATTTCTTCTCTCACTACAGTTTTGTGCTGGACCATTCCTTTGATTGTTTGAGACAATAAATTTTCACTTTAGTCCAACCTTGACTTGGGCTTGCCAATTTGCAACTAAGCTAATACAAATTGACACGTAATGTCTGATTAGTTTATCAATACCAGCATAAACCAATCAAGGATAACACATTTATTACAACATGGAAGGAAATCTCCTAAATTACATTTCAGTCTACTCTAAAGCTGACATATAAACAAGATGAATCATACTATATACTTCTCTTCCCTGCAAAAAAACTGGCTGTTTAGCACTCCACATCTGATTGAGTTAACCTAAGTCCAAATACATAAATGGAATTTTCAAAATGCTGTAAATTTGGATTTAATTCCATATAGGTTTAAATGTGTATAGGGTTAAAATTTTTAATGCCAATCTTGTCTCCACCTCAGAGCATTTTCACAAGCTGTTTCCTCTCTCTTGAATACTCTTACTTTCATGGCTTATTCTTCCTCATTAAAGTCTTAATAAAATATTGCTATCTCTGAGATTTCTACACAAACTAGATTATTTCCACCTGTAGTCACTTCTATTAATACTGTTTTGTTTTCACAATAGTCCTTCCTGAAATTCTTATCTGCTTCTGATTTCTTTCACTTCTACTTTAACTGAAATACACACTCCATAAGTAAAGACACAAACCTGCCTTGTTTACCAAGCACCCAAAACAGTGTTGAAGAAGGAAGGGAAAAAGGAAAGAAGGACAGTCAGAATGCTTTCTTCTTTCGTAGCCTGTTGACAGCAGAGTACCACAAAGGTAAACTCAGTTAATGAGTTTTTGTATATTTTATTTTGTTTAAATACAAATTATTCTAATGTTTGGAAGCATAATGAGAGTATTAGCCAGGATTACCAGCTGGTTACTTGCAAAGCCCCTGAGGGACAGTACTTCTTAGGCCACCACATTTTTGGATCTTAAAACTCCAAAAGTTGCATTTTCTTATTATCCAAATATGATCCAATTTGCAGATGTAGCCAAACACTAAGTTAATCACACAAGGCAAGTCTAGCAGCCAGAATGCCATTGGGTTGCTTTATTATAGATGAGCATCCCATGTTCCCATCCTTCCCCTACTCCATAGCTAACTGACTTCCTACCAGCATAATGGTCTCAAGCAAGCCAACTGATTAATCAAACCATTTCTCAATAAGCACAAAATCCAAAGGAGAGTAACATCTTGGGTTTAGGAAGCTGCTGAGACCTCAGCAAATGCAATGTATCAAAGTTATATGTAACTGAGAATAGTTTGCCAGAGATATGCTAACTTAGGTCCACCTGATCCAGTATCTTCCTTTCCCAGGCAATATTGATTATATACTTTTAAATTCTTTTCTCTATGTAAGGCAATTTCTCTTATGTTAATACATTTTTTTCCCTTTATATGTATTCACATTATATCCCTGTTCACCATAGGATCTGTCCTTAAGAGATTAATTAACTTAACTAATTCCTATGGTACAGGGTGCCCCGTGACTTCAGCTTACACAAATGAATTTTAATATAAGCCTTAAAAAATGCCTAATAAACTACTTATGATCTTAGATATAGTGGGACATAAACAAAAAGACTGTAATGCCAAAACTCTAACACTGGAAAGATTTGTACCTTTATAGGCAACATTCCAATTATTGAGGAGAGGATAATAATAGAGATTTAAAACTTAGAAATCATTGAGTCAAGTTCTCAGTTGTGTGTGTGTGTTGGCAAAATTCTTTCCTCAAAAGGATATTTATATGGAAATGTAATGTGTAAAACAAATAAAAAATGGCTTGGAAGTGCAAATGTAGAGTAAGGACCTGCAAAAATTTGCCCTTTCATAAAAGCAACAAAATAACTTGCAAAAATTGTCAGAATCTACATTTATAGGACATTGGAAATTAACCAGAGGCTCGCAGCAACTCAGAAAACACTTATACAAGAAAGAAAACTGATTCCTGATTTTTTAAAAATGAAAAACAAAAATCAGTGAACTTTGGAGTATTTTAAGTTCGTCTAGTTGCATCCCCAGCTCCCTTGCCTAGCTGTGGAAAATACCGATGAGCATTCCTGATACTAAAGGGAGTAGAATAAAGCTAGAGGCTCTTCCAAAGTCTCATTCCCAAAGAATTATCATTATTTTACCTGTCAGGTGGTTCCCTGGAAGATCCCACACTAAAGTCTTTCTGTATTTGACCTGACTCAGAGCTTACCCAGTGCTAAAAGCCTCAGCCTAGGGGACATTTACATGCAAGTTTTTTTTAACATTGAAGCTGCGTTAAGTAACAGGTAAGATTTGGGGCAAACAATGGATCAGTCAAAAGATTTAAAAGGAAAAGCTGAATAGTGAGAAGGCTTTAGGGATTTGTAAAGCTCTAATAGTCTAGGGAATCTAGAGGACCACACAGATGCCTAGAGCTGTGCACATACTCAAGGAAGACCTGGAAGGACCTAAACTCTCATCTGGATTGATGTTGAGACTCTTTGAAAGCAGGAGCCAAAAGGCTAAGGCAGCATGTAAACCATCTGGCTAAGTATGGAAGGCATGCCCCAAGACATACACAAAACTCCTCAGTGAAGACTAGATTTCTTAGTTTAACTCACGTAACGTAATCTCTGTTCAGTTATTAGTGGAACACTAGCTGAGTACAGACTTCAATGGCCACACATGACTGAGAATGGAGACTACAAAATCAGCTCAGAAACTTACTAAACAAGCAACCAGTAGTACAAGAAGCAACAAAACAACAAGAAAACCCTGGAGAGGAGGGAATTTCCAAAGTTATCACATTATACGATCTTAAGTGTACAGATTTCAAAAGAATTTGCAAGCCATGCAAAGAAACCAGAAAATAGGGTCCATAAACATGCAAAAGAAATCAAATAATAGATACTATCTTTGAATAAGCATAGATATTGGACTTGTTAGTCAAAGACCTTAAATCAGCCTTTTAAATATTGTTCAAAGAGCTAAAGGAAACCATGCCAAAAGAACTAAAGGGAAGTATGAAATGACATACCAGTAAGTAGATCATATGAATAAAGAGATATAAATCGTAGAAAGGAGTAAAACAGAAAACCTTGAGTTGAAAAATACAAAAACTGAAATTGTTGATGGGCAGTCTGTACCAAGGAGGTCTAACCTGTGCACTGGGCATGACATAAACCTGGAGCAGCTGCAGTCTAGTTCTTGACTCTAATGGAGAAAGAATTCACAAGCAAGTCAAGCAGGTCGAGCAGATGCAAGCAAAGGTAATTTATTAAAGCAAAAGTACACACTGAAGGAGGGAGTATGGCATGTTCACGAGGTGAGCAGCCCTGGGATGTCCCTTCTTGAATTCTTATCTTACTGTTGGCAAAGGTTCGATGGAATATTCATCAAGATAGGTGGGTTTTCTCAGAATGGGGAGGGTTAGGGACTACACCCTCTTTTTGTCCTGATATGGTCAGCTTGGGAACTGTCATGGCACCAAGGGGTATGATATTTAATATGTTAATGAGAATAACATGAACGTTCAGTTAACTGTAGGTTACCTCAGTTCTCCATTTAGAATCTAGCTGATTTGCTTTTGTTTAACCTGTTTTTCCATCAACTAATGCCCTAGAATCTACCTGGTATGTTTTTGCTAAACTTGTTTTTGGCTGTCTGGCCACCCAAACTGTCCTCAAGCTACTAATAGTTTGTGATTTCTTGATTCATCCAGGGTCTGACTCTCTTCTTGAACTACATACCTATGTCAAAAAGAAAAATTCACTGAAGGGGCTCAACAGTAATTTAAGCAGACAGAAGATAAAAAGAGATCTCAAATATGGGTCAGTCAAGATTTTCCAACTGAGTAACAGAAAAGGAAGGAAAACTAGTAAAAGGAAAAAAAGGATGAAAAAAAAATCCCCAGAGACTTGTGGAGCACAATCAAATATTCTAATACATGCATAAATGAGAGAGAAAGAAGGAAGAATACTTGAAAAAGAGACCAAAATCTTCCCAAATTTGATAAAAAGCATTAATCTACATATGTAGGAAGCTTCATGAATGACAAGTAGAGTAAAATTAAAGAGATTCCACCTAGACACCTTACAGGCAAACAGTTGAAAGTCAAAGACAGAATCTTGAAAGCTGCAAGAGAGAAGTGACTCATCATGTACAAGAAATCTGCATCAGAAACCATGGAGGCCAGAGGTGGTGAGATGACATATTCAACATGCTGAAAGAAGAACTGGTCAAAGAAAAATTCTGTATCTGCCAAAACCATCCTTCCAAAATGAAAGAGAAATTAAGACCTCCTAGATAAATAAAAACTGAGCATGTTTGCTCCTAGCAAACCTGGCCTACCTGCCCCCTGCTAACTCCTGTATTCTTTTTCCCTAATATTATCATTCTGAAAGAATAAAATAAATATCATTAACTGGGAAATTAATAATAGCAGCTTTTTCCTGTCTTTAATGAATTTGGTCTCTAGAACACTAAGCAGGTGTCAGAAGCAGCAAATTAGAGTTATATACAGCAACAGAGAGAGATCTTTAAAGCATAGGATTGATTTAAATGTAAAAAGTATAGTATAATTTATGTAAATTTATGCACAAGCATGCATTAATACATTGTATGTATATTTATGAACATACATAACACTATTTTATAAATTTTCAATGAGATATATATCTTGAACAGTTTTGGAGTAGATGTGGGGGTGGGTGGAGCATGGGAGTAAGGAGTAGGAATATGGATTGAGTTTTAAGAGCAAGAGATAGGTAAACAAGAAAATATTAATGGATGTTAATTATATGTCACAACTGAAATGATTAACTCATCTCAGTGTATCTCAGATTCAAAAAGAAAATTTTAATAAGGTAGAGGTATATAAATGGATATGGAAAGATGTCCAAGTTATAAAGTAAAAAAGTAGTTGTGGAGTACTCTGATCTCACTTGTGTAAATAGAAATACACATAGGCACACATACTATGCTTGGATGTGTTCAGAACATTTCTGGCAACATGCACAAAACCTTTAAAACTCATTATGTCTGGTGAATAGAACTGAGTAATGAAAGTTCAATTTTACATGTATAATCTTTTGATTATTTTTTATCATGGAAAACATGATATTGGTGCAGTAAAATTGTTTGAAAATAGCAAAATAGAGGGATGTGAAGCTCAAGATAATTCAGAAGATATTGATGGAACATTTGGCTTTATTTAAAACTTTTGGAAACTCAATTCAATAAACATTTATTTCAGATTCCCTGGAATATGTGGGAATAGGAGAGTACGTGCAAGCTGAGGAGGTTTAAGTGGATGAAGTATTACTTTAAAAGTAAAAGACATTTGTGCCCATGAGGAGGCAAAAAGAAATAAAAACAACAAAAATGTGGAGTCTATTTTTGCCAGGGGTTTGGGATCAGGTGGGCTAAACTGACAAGTCCATGTAAAGGTGTATGTGACCTCAGAATCTTATTCTTCCTTGCATCCCCCTCTCCCAAGCAGATTAAGAAAGAGCTCAGCAAACACAGAACACCATATGGTAAGTACATATTACTTAAATGGAATAGAGACTGCCTTTAGGGGTAGGACTGGAGAACCACGGAGCTTCAACAAGGGAGATCACGTAGGAGATAGGAAGTTTGGCAAGGCCAGGGAGGTGTACATTGTTCATGCCCAACCTCAAAGCCCATATGAGCCTGTGTGAGTGCTCAGGCATTTTTTAATGTCTTAATATCCACTTTGAAAGTGAAAATACATGTAAAACACCTAAACAATGCCTGGAACACAAAATGTTATTAATAAATTCAATTACTATGCTCAATGTATAGTCAATGCCTACTGTTTATCTGTTAGAGATTCTGGAGAAATGCCAATGAGCAAAATAAGCAACAATCTATAATCATATCAAGCTTACATTTTAATGGGGAAACAGACCATAAGTAAATAAGCAAAATATGTCATGTATATCAGATGGTGATAAGTAAGGCAGTAGAGATTCAAGGTCAAGATGAGAGCTATACCTTAAATAGAAGTCAGCAATGGTCTCACAGAGATGGTGACATTGCAGCAAACACTTGAAGAGAGTCATGCAGGATCTGTTTGGAGGAAGTTTTTAGTAGTAAGATCATTTTGCATACATCTTTTGGGCATTTGCTAATCCATGGCACTGTGCCAAGTCCTTTGTGCAAAATGATGAAAGTAGTGAGCAAGTATGGATCATTTATTTTGGGCTGGGCACTGCATTGAGCACATTACTTGTACCGTCTCATTTGACCTTCATAAAAATTATTTTATGAAGCAAATGGGACTTAGAGAAGTATCTTACACAAAGTACCTTGACTACCCAGCAATGACAGTAGAATTTGACCTTGGGGCTTAGATACCAAGTCTATTATTTGACCCTCATGTTTATTTATTCAGCACCAGGCAATTCTACTCTGTCACAGGGTCTTGTATTTTTCCTTGATGGCACTCAACATTGTATTCAAGGTATTATTCAAACAATTATTTCTTCAGTGTTTTGTTTCTTTTTCTCACTATACTGCACAGAGTAGGAGCACACAGAAAGCACCAACTGAGTTTCTCTTGTTCACCACTGAATTTGAAGCACCTCCCATGATATGAAAGCACATAGGAGGTGCTCAGTTCATATCTTCAGAATTAACCAGTATAACATCTAATCAGCATAATTTCTTTTCAATATTTCACTGGTTACAGTGAAAACATGTTACTTTTCACAGTTTTCAAATAAACATTTAATAAAGAAAGTATAAAGGCACCAAATGGTCTGTGTCTGAGAAACATGATCAAAGTTGGTCTTTTGAAAGATTATTCCAGTTTATAACTGTAGTTGATGCCTATAATATTGCCTATCTAGCATCCACTCTTCAGATAGAGTACTCTAATTTTTCTTTGGAATATCATCTCTTTCTCATGAAAATTCCTTTTATGGAGTTTATCCCACCATCTATCTCAAAGATGATTAAATGACTTAGTTTTAACATCCAAGATCTGTCCCTTGGCCTCAAGTGTATACAATCCAAGGCAGGCCAACAAGACTTGATTCTGGATGTTTGTTTAAACTCTTGGGAAAGAGATACTTTGTTAACATGTTAGGATGTATCTGGAACTGCTTCTACTTATCCTGCCATGTACATGAGGTATTTATCTCATGCTGCCTCATAAGAAAAACCTGTCTGATGAAAGAAGCCAACAAAGGGAGAAAAAATACCCAATATCTTTTATCCTCTATAGAAGATATGGGAAGAAACATATCCCTGGCAATAATTATTTGCACCTACATCATCCATCCATCAAGCATGCCTTTGGACTTTTCTGCTGCATAATAATAGGTACATTTTTTTCCCCTTGAACCAATTGAACTATAATATTAGTTATTTGTGGGTCATAGTGAATCTCCCCAACATTTAATGGCTTAAAACAACAAAGATGCTATAAAGAGTTCTATATGAATTCACAAGTTGCCTGAAGATAAAGTGTCATGTATGCTCTGATGGAAGGTTCAAAAACTTATTAGAGTAAAGAAAACAGTATACAACCAACCAGCTTCATCAAGGAGGCTCCAGAGAGGAAGCATATTTGAACCAGGCCTTGATCATTGTTTAACTTATTTAGTTGTTTGGGCAAAGATGAAAAAAAAGCATTTCAGTGCTGAGAAAATGTGGAGACAGAAAGAAGCAATAAGCAGTCTGTTATGGCTGAAGTGAACAGAGGGATCCTAACAGAAGATAATGCAGTTAACAACTGATAGACCCAGCATGTGGTAGGGCCCTGAATACCTTACTAAAGGGCTTATATTTAACGTGGTGACAATTTGTCCTCAAAAAATATAAGTAGTATTAAAGTAAAGGGAAAGGTAAGCCAAGCCCTGATATCTCTGTATACACTTTGCTAAACTGACTTACCAATTTCCCAGTAAGGTTGTTTTTGGTATCTTATATGGTTCATTGCAAAGTCTCCATGTGCCTCAGACCTGATCCTTATTTTCTCCATGTGAAAAGTTCTCTCCTATTCATTTGTTCAAAGTTGAGCAGATTTTAGGAGACTAATTAATGTTAATTAACTCACTAGAGATTGATTAGTAACTTGAGAGCTGATTTCTTGATTTATAATGAGAAGCATTATTGCCTCATGGATCAAAATTCTCTAGTCAAGTGAATACTCTATTTTTTTTCTAGTTTGTAAGTTTTCTTGGAAACTGAATTAATATGAGAAAGTTGCATGGTAACTACAGAGATGAAGGAAAGGAAATATGATGACCTTAATGAATTCATAATTAATAGGTTTCTCTCTGTGTGTTTATAGAACTTGACTTATTTGTTCATTCCACAACAGCATTTGAGAACTTGCTGAGTAATTAGTTGCTTAGGAATGTTAAAATATATGAAACCTAGCTTTTGCCATCAGTAGGACAAATGTGGGACCAACATTAATCAAGATCTTAGTTTGTGCCAGGCGATTTATATCTGTATCTCATTGAATGTCCACAACAAACTCTTAAATTTATTTTGCCCTTTGAAAATGAGAAGTACTTTTTTAAAAAAGAAAAAATGCAATTTAAGCAACTTACTCAAGATCATAGACAGAAGTAGTTTTATGACTGTATATATTTATCAAAACTCATTTAATTGTACACTTAATTAGGTAATTGTATCATATGTAAGTAAGTGATACTTCAAAGAAACTGATAAAGGAAGCCATGTCAGAAGCCAGAGAGAGAAATTTTTGTAAAGGGTTCTCACATGCTATGAGTTACCAGTCTCCAAGTAAGGACGGACAGTATAATGGTACTTACTTTGCCTCAAGCCTGCATAAAGGAGCATCCATGGTAGAACTTGAAGAACCAGAGATATATTCTTTGCAGTACCCCCAGATTACTAGTCTGCATGATGGTTAATTTTGCCAATTTAGTTAGGCTATGGAGCCCAGTTGTTTAGTCAAACATCAATCTAGATTTTGCTGTGAAAATTTTTGTTTGTTTGTTTTTATGTCACTAACATCTAAATCAGTAGGCTTTGAGCAAAGCAGATTACCCTCCATTGTATGGATTGATCTTATGCAGTCAGTTGAAAGACTTAACAGCAAAAACTGAAATTTCCCAAAGAAGGAATTTTGCCTCCAGACTGCAACATAGAAATTCTGCCTGAGTTGTCCATCCTTCAAACTCAAGACCAGAACATCAACTTCAACCTGAATCTCCAGCTTGCCAGCTTGCCCCATGGATTGCACCACAGAAGCTCCAACTTCCCAGATTTGCCAAGTACCATCATTATGTTAGTCAATTCCTCAAAATCTCTCTCCATATATCTATGCTTATATCTATATCTGTATCCTATTGGTTCTT